GGTCCCCCCCGGGGCCCTTTCCCAACGGAGGACCAGCCATGAACTGGTTATCGGTCATCCGTGATGGATGGTCGGTTGGATGGGGTGAATTGTTGGTGAACCGTGACGGATGGTCAGTTGGATGAGGTGAGTTATTGGTGAACCGTGATGAGTGGTCTCCTATGTGGGTTGGGGTGAGTCTGGAGAATTTGTCCTGTAGTTGGGGGGAGTTCCGTGACAGCCGCGGTGTGTGGCTGTCGGAGTATCTTTGTTCGAGTCTCAAGAATTCGGCATTGCTCTGCTGGTCTTGTAATTGTCGCACCTGTTCCTGAATTCTGCAGAAATCAAAAGTTAAATAATTGAAGTTAAATTTCCACTTTTAATTCATTTCTATCAACTATTAAAAAAGCTTCCAATGAAACTGGTAAGGTCATAGAAACAACCTGAACTTTGAACCAATTTCTGTATACAATACCTTTTAAAATGTACTTTATAACACTTTAGAAAACATGGTTCTGAATCAGAGAAAATGAGATTAATTTTTTTTTTTTTTTATAATAAACTATTTCTGATTTTTTTAATTTGCTTTGGTTGATTGCAGAATAATTTTTCTGAATAAATGTGTATTAGACTGAGGAGACTATTTTTATTACAATCCAGCAGTATGGGTAGGATGGTCATTGGGAAAGAAGTGTTGGGTGATTGGAGGGGTTTATAAATAAGGGCAGCGGTGACAGGAAAATGTGAGCCTGAACACAACGATCCTAGCTATAGCAAGGACGTAGATATCAAGGGAAGGGAAAAGTGTTCTTCATAGCAAATCTCAAGACTATCAATCTGAATTACATCATACTTAAATTGGCTCTCTGGTTTTGGTAATTTTAAAACATTGGGCATTGACGGACTTACATACAGAAAAACCAGCTGTCATTTTTTATCAGTAAAGTTTACTATTTCCTCATATGAATGTTCACATGAAAAGTTTGGTTCAGAAAAGATATAACTTCAAACAGTGCACCTCAACATGTGTTACAATAGATACCAACACTTCACTCCAGTGTTTAATCATGTGTGAGTTTAAGTTGAACAATTTCCTTGTCAAGTGCAGATCATGCCTTCCTTTCTGATTCGGAAAAACTGTGAGAACATTTACCTTTCATATTCAGTTTCCTCAAATAACTCCTTAAAACTGAAATCAATTTTATGCAAAGAAAATTTTAAATAAGGTACACAAGAGAGTTTATTCTCATAAATTTTTGAAGGACTACATCTTCATGTTCAAAGTAACCTTTCAGAACCCAAGTGTATCTGGTTTTTCTCCAAAATTAATGTTTTTACCATCAAATTCTGGAGAAAATGATGATTATATAAAATATCTCACATCTGTATTTCAATCCAATTTTTCAACCTTTACCCCTAGCTCAAACACCCCATACAACTCATACTATTTCTAATCATTTACCTGATTTCTCTATCTTAATCTGTATCAAATTCATAACCTATGTATTGTAGATCCACCCCATTTTTATCTATAATTTACCAGTCTTCTCTATCTAAATTTCTATCCAATTCTTCTAACTCTAGTATCAACACCCCTGTTGATCCATTTCTACAGCTTACCTTTCTTCCCTGGAGTCTGCTGACTTTGACCTTTCCTCTGACCCCGTCTGTCTGTCTGGTTCTTCCTGTGTTTTTGCCTCTTCCTTTTTACTTTTGTTGCTCCTCCTACAGTAAATTCTTTCTGTATCATAAAATTCCCTAAAACTTCATGTCATATATGATAAAATCCTATCCCAGTTTCCTGAAGGATTTATTCCTTATCTTTATTATTGAATTACTAGTATGCCTTTAAGTTTAGATATTTTTAATCAGATATCCGCCTGGGTCCTCATTCCATACCTCAGTTAACATTTAAATATCCCCCATGGGCCCCCATTCCATACCTCAACAAGCCTTTAAATATCCCCCCTGGTCCCTTCTTTTCCTTGGCGGGTTTTTTCTTGGCTTTTCTTGGGTCCTCTGGCTCGCTGCTCATGGAGGAATGTCCCGAGGTCGTGACCCCTCCTTGTGTAACTGACCCTCCCTCACTGCTCTCCTCCTCCACTGTAACCATAGCAACAAATGAGGGTTACCAAGGAAATACAGATTTTTAATTATAGAAAAAATGGATCTTCATACAGGCAAATCCACATTGCCAATTAAAGGTTAAACATATCAACGTGTTGTCATACAAGTAATTGATGCTATGATATCTTAATTCTTATGTAGGAGATGAACATTGCTAAATATGTATGAATATTTCCATAAACACTTTATATTATTGAATTTTTCTCTATTTTGTAAAGGGTTTGACAAAACTTCTCTTTTTATAAACATCCGGTTAAACTTTGCCGATTATATATACATGTACATAATTTTTCTAGAAAACAAATATGGTACAATTTATTATGTAAAAATTGATATAAATCGTGATTGCAGATGCTTGAATTTTTTTTCCAGTGTACATGCAGATTAATATCTGGATTATTGATAAACAAAATTTTCATTCCATTATACAAGATATATTTGCTCTACAGGGCTGTTGCCGTGTCAATATTATTACTTGGAAAAACTTGAATGAAATTTTTACATCACATAAACCTATAATAGATAAATCTCGTAATCTGATATTTTTTTAGATTCTGCTGCTACCCCTTTGAAAATGTCTCATTATATAGTGCATTATAAGCAAGATTACTAAAGCAAAATTAAGTGTGATGAAATTCCCCATAAATTTTATTGCATGCACACAGTTGATCCAATATTTACAAGTAATGTTACAAAACTAATAAATTTTATTTCATTAGGCCTATATTTTTCATGAACAACTGTAGATGTATATTGTTCTTCTTTAGATTTATTATTAATCCTAGAAATCTGACTAATTTTCTATCATGAATTGAACGTAATTTGTGACCCCAGGAAATTAACATTTTAAAATATTAATTTTAATATTTAAAATTGATAATTCATTAGGTACAATGGCTCTCTAATGATAAACTCTTTTCACTGCGAAATGCCCATATAAAACATCAGGCCAGGTCTACAAGTATCTATGTTAAAACACTATTCACTCCATGTGTTTTGAGGAATAATTGTCTACAGATTTCTAGTCAAACTGTGTCTACTCACCAAGTTAAAAAAAAAAAACATCACTTTAAAACATCTTATGATCATATTGAATTGCTTATTTTTTTTTGAATTCTATAATCAACAGTGCAGACAAAGGAGAAACATGAAAAAAAAAAAATTATCAACTCCTGTAACAATACGATATCAAAATCAACGACCATGACAACAGCAGCAACAAAACACGTGTCACAGAAGAGTACAATCATACAACAGCAACGTACAGAAGTACACAAACAACAACAAAATCAACAACTACGAATAAAAGACATCTACGCACAGATAAAGACATCTACATACAAATGAGTAACAAAAATGAAAATGAAACACAGTTACTGAAATCAATTAATGAAATAGACAACAATGAACATGGTGAAACAGAGACATACTAAGTTACTGAAACAGCTAGAACTGAAAACAAACAAACAGCACCTAAAGTATGTAAGTACACATGTACTTCAACAGACAACAACAACAATGTAGGTCAGGACATATTATATCTAGATGTAAATAAAGTAACAACAGCAATGAAAACTTATGAAGGACATAATATGTAAACTACATTGAGAGACCCAACAAAGACCAAACATAAGTGATAAATGATTTCAAACAGCCATTGGCAAGTAAACTGCAGAAACAACCAAACATACACATATGTAAGCATGTATTATACAAAACTTGAACAACAATAAGGCATGCCTGATCAAGCAGAGACTCTGATGAGACTGTAGCTCTACTGGTTGTATTTAAATAGATACATTTCAATTGTAAGAGTCCTAATTTGAAAGAATTCTATAATATTTACTTTAATTTTGACATTGTAATATTTAAAATATTAATATATTCATTCAAATTGGATCAAACATGTAAGAAGACAATCAGTTTGAAAACAGCCACGTTGGTTAGAGTTTCAACCAGTAGAGCTAAAAAATAGAAGAGAGCAGAATGCAGACTTGTGTTGAAGGTGCTATAATTTAAAGAAAAAGAAAATAATCTGTGGATCTCAAATTGTCATGCCTCCATCCACGTGAAGAAAAACAAACAACAGAATTCACATGCATTAAACTGATAAGTGAAGTGATACAGTCAAATTCATCCATGACTACCATATCTTCACTGCCAACAGCCTCCTAGATCCAGCTCAAATCCAGGGTAACCAGAAAAAGAATTCAAAGTCCTTTACCAGTGTTTAGTGTAGCTGTTACTAGGTAAAGTTTTGGTTTCATCTTTTACTTCAAACTTTTAGATGAACTACAGTTAAACTTCAGTATCTCGAACACAAATATATTTCGAATATCATGGAAAGTAAGTGATTAAAAGTTAAACCATTAATTTAATTATAATAACTCAAATTTGACTTAAGTTTTCCCTGGTAGGGAGTTCGAATTATGGGTTTGGCTTAAATAACAACCTGTGTTTAGGTTTAAAAATGTTTGCACCTGCCAAAAAATTTTTATACCCCAATGAAATTTTGCAATTTTTTGTTTAAAAATTGGCCCCCTTTCAACCAAAAGATATGCAGAAATGAGTCCAACTATGCCTAGTCAATCAATACTTGTGAAGGACTGTTGTATAAAATTAATGTATCTGGTTTATCAATACCCTGAACTATGAAAAAAAAAATTCCAAAAAAAAATTCAAAAAATAATCAACAATTGATCCCAAAAAAAAATTTTTTTTTAAAATTAAAAAAACAAAAAACCTTTAAATTTTAAATTTATAATGATCTGTCCTGCTCAAATTGTTATCAATAATATCTTACTAAAAAATGTTATTAGAATTCTAAACAATCTCAAGCACAATCATACTTATCATCATTTCTACTAAATCATTTGCATTGTTTTGGTTTTTAGAAGCAATAAATAGGTGGTGCTAGGTTAACTGGTTAGAGAATCTGATTGGCTGAAGGTTTGGTTGTATGGGACCTAATAAACTGGTCCCCTTTTCTCCTACAGTGAAGCCCCCACTGGTTTCCAGATTTCCTTCCTGCGTTTGATTCTGGTCTTCTATGAGACACAAGAACATTCTTTGTAATGAATTTTAGGGAAAACAATCTACTTTATATACACAGGAACACATAGTCTACATATACAAGTATGTTCTGATTTCTTGAAATGAAATGTAATCTTCAACTGATCAATAGAAGCAGGAAGCAACAATGCATACTAAGCAGTTAACAAGGTAGATCCTGGTGTAGTGGAGAAGACAGCCTTCATGAAATCAGTATTTTACAATTTAGGAATAAAATCACAGAAAATTTTAAAATTCCCATTATTACTTAAAAAAAAAATAAACCTGATCTACTAAGTAGAAGAGGAATTTCTATTTAAAAAAAAATACTAAATTGAGATGGTCCCTGAAATATAGATTAATAGGTTTTTAAATGTCCCCCCTTTACTTACGTGGATCCATGGTAGTGAGTTCCTGGGGGACGGGGTCGTAGGACCGGTCAACTGCGGCCCTGAAGCTGAGTTTCAGCCCCCCCCCCGCCCGTTTGCCCCCCGGGGGGAAACCCCCTGACTCTCGGGGGGGCGTCCGGGCTCTCCCACTCTGTCCCCCCCGGCCCCACCTGAGCCAGATTCTCCAGGGAGCTGAAGCGTTTCAGGTTGGAGGGGGCACATCAAGGTCACGGTATTACCCTTAGTCATTTTAAAACTTTTTAGTGGATACATTTAAAAAAAAGTCTCTATTTTTATTTTTAAAAGATGGAAGGAAAGTTTAAAAGAAAACGCAAAAAAAATAAAAGAAAACAGACAAACAACAGGAAAAAACAAATACGGGATCTATCATCCGGCCATAAAAATTTAATCCTAAATAAACATGTCCCAATTAAGAAAGTTGTTACTAGTTCTCTCTAATTTAAACTGAATCATAAGAATTAGACTGATATTAATACTTGTCATTGGTTAGTTTATGCTTTAGTTGTTAATTTATCAAAGCATTATTGATCATTTATACAAGAAAAATTTAAAAGTACTTGTCAGTTGGTTAGTTTATGCTTATGTTGACAATGTTGATTAATGAAGGTTGTAAAAAAACAAATAAGTTTTTTTAATATCATGTATATTAATTAAAAAAATAACTGTTATTTCATACAGATTTAGCAAAGCCTTATTCTTTTCAATGTCAATAATACTATTTTGTATGTTACAAGTATTATATACCTAAATGGCCTTATACTTTTTTTAAATAATCGATTTATCCTCATTGTTTATCTCATCTTTCAATATCATAAAAGGATTACAGTACTATGAAATATGTCTTTTTTTTCAACTAAAATAATCCATTAACAATTTAAATATTAGTTCAAACATGCT